CCTATTGATTATTACTGTATCATGATTATACTAAAACTCTAGTCCATAAAACAGACTTTATCTAAGGGTGTACTATGTATGAGGCATCAATGACATAAATATATAACTCCAACTAAATAAATTGTAACATTAAATTAATTTTTCCATCTGTGCATACATAGAAATCCAAAACAGGCTAAAATGGTCTCAATTTATTAATTGAAAATATCAATTATTCTCTAGAACACAATCACCCTATAGTTAACTAGTGGACATTTTGTTGCAAAAACCTTCCATTATGTTTCAGGACTCTAATGGGAAATCACATATTTAAGAATTTTAAATTAACTTCTTATGAACAATAATGATTAAACTTTTCTGCCTTAGTACATTATTGGTAAATATATTCCCTTATAATCCTTCATAAATCCAGATATTGTTTAGTATTTTAAATCTGGAAAATCAGAGTTTTAGTTAAATGAGTATGAACAGATTATTTTTTCTTTTAGCAGTTTCCTCTTTGACTCTTTTTATAGTAACAGTGGATGAAAGAATAGAGAATGAGTGACCCTTTTCAATTTCCATTCTTTTCTTATTTCTAAATTCTCTTCCATTCTTTGCAAAAGACTGTGATACATAGCTACCAGAAGAGGCACTGAATGAGAGCACTGTAGGTGTAACAGTTTAGTCTGGTCTAATCAGCTATGCTAAGAGACAGGGTTAAGAGACATGGTTGTGAGTAGCATGGTGTTTGCCAGTCAAATCCAGTGCACTGGATCTGTTTCTACGAACGAGAATATATTTATTTATATATAAATATATATATATTCATAACTGCAAAGACTACATAGATTGTCATGCCATTTAGGAATGAAAATAAAATGAAGCACTTGAAGAAGAGGCAGGCAAGGACAGGTATGTTCAGCTGACTGGGGATTTAGTTTTTCACTTCAACTATCTAACAAATAACTACAGAGAAGACAGAGCCAGACTTTTCTTAGAAACGCACATCTGAAGAAACAGGAGCAATTGTCACAAGTTTCAGCACAGGAAATTCTCACATGGGATAAGGAAAAATATTCAAGACAGTGATTCAGCACTGGAACAGGTGCCCAGAAACATGCTGGGATTTCAATCCTTAGATTCAAACCTGAGCTGGCTAAGGCCCTATACAGCCTGATCTAAATATGAAGTTATTCCTGCTCAAAGACTCTGGACCATGGGACCTCCAGAGGTACATGCTAACGCACCAACCTGCATTTCTCTATGATTCTAAGATACTTGTAATGCTTCTGTATGAAAAAACAATGTGAAAACAGGCAACAGAACATTTTAATTTCTCATCTTTTCATGCACAGATTTATTTGCTTCACTTTTAATCTTTTTGTAAATATTGTACAATTTTAAAAAATGGGGTGTCCATAACTTGAAGTTTTGGTGAAATTCTGCTATTTAAATGGGGAAAAGTTGGGACTAACATACTTAAGCAAGACAGATCTGTGAACAGCTAGATTAAGAGGCACTCAATGTGAAACCATATCTCCTGGAGTACTGAAATCCAACTGACTATTATATAGCTGATCCATGAAGTCTTGCTTCTATTTCTATTGGTGGCCATGAAAGGAAGGGAAAGTAAAAGGTATGTGTTATCACAACGGGATTTGAATGCGGCAATCTCAGAGGAAATTTAATTAATTGTGAGAAATAAAAGTGTGACTCTTGAAAGTACCCAGAGTGGACCTATCTTAGTTTCCATTTTTAACCATTCAATAAATATCTTTGCTCTTTCAGTTGTTAAGGTCAAGAATACTAAAAGTTATAATCAACATTGAACTAAATGATACAAGACATCTAATACTGCTTTGAGTAATAGAGCAGCATTTAAAAATTTTATGAACTGTATTGCAAAGAAGAGGAATGAGTATGACAGATGGGAACAATCTACCACGCAACTGATTTTGAATAATTAAAATTGTTCATCTTTGGAAAGAGATAGTAAAAGGTTCATGGTAAAACTTATACAAGTCTATCAAACTTTAGTAAAGTGGTTTTCTTTTTGAAAATCTTATTATTATACAATTCAGATATTCTGTGCTTATTCCAGAAGAATATCAACACCAAGAACATCAAGTGGCATTGTGCAAATTAGAAGAGGAATCATGTTTGGTCCCAGGGAAAAAAAAGAGTGAAAATCATTGCCCTAGACAAGCAATAAGATATCTTACAATCTTAAGCAAAGCAAAACCTTTTTTTCCATAACTATACAGATTAACTGGAAAGCTAACACCTGTTAAATGAATAAATGTATCTGCTAATGATACTGTGTAGTATTTTAAAACCTTGGAAATACACCAGCTATCCAGACCTGAACTTACAGAAAACATGTCTTTTTCCTATGACATTAAAGTGGAACCAGATTTCACTCTAAAATTTTCATTTCAGTGTTTAATATTGAATTCTCTTTTACTTCTTTCCCCTTAAAAGCATATATTAAATGCATATTTTTATTTCTCATTCTTTTTAAACTAAAACGTTTGTGATTACAAAGCTTGCTCTGGAATACATGTTAAAAACCCGTTGGATTAAGGTTCTCCAAAAATTTGTTTGACTTCTTGAGTTGAACTTTAGTCTAATCCCTTTAAACTAAAGTTAGTCTGTCCCTTTAAAGTCTAATCTGAACACATAAAAATAGACAATTGTATGGAACTCAATCTGTTTATTAGAAAAGGATGAAAGCATTTGTGCTTCATCTCGATTTGAACTTTCGGTTCCACAGAGTCTAGGTATTTCAAACTAGAGGTTTACAACGCTAAGAGATACCACTCACGATAACTCTTATCTTTTCTGTGTTAATATCCACATTAAAAAGACAAATTTGTGTCTTGATAAACTAGTAAAATATATTTTTAAATACTAAATGACAACTACTACACAAAGTGCCTATCAAAACTGTCATTTCAGTTGCAAGAGGTGATATTTACCTTTTTTTTTAATCATTCTATACAAGTTTCAGAAAAAAAGGTAAGTCACTAACAGGAACATCAGTTCATTCCCTAATGACACACAAGAAACCCCCTCTTTTATTTATTACCTTTGTCTCATCTCACAGGATAATCTGCTTAAGTCTACCTTAGCCAACAAAGTGTGAAATAAATCCAATGTACCCTATAACACAGGCAGCCCCAGTTAATATTGTTCAAATTATTCACATCTGAAGGGCCGCGCCTGTCTGGATAGCTGGGCCCGACGCTTCTCCGGACTTGGTTTCTGCTTTTCACATCTGTTTCAGCTTTAGACTTTCACTGGTATTCTGCCAGCAGCCACAACTTTTTAATGGCTACAATAAACTACAGAGACTCATCAAATCTTTGTTGTACGTGTTAAAATTATAACCTCTTCAATTAAAATTTTGATTTAAAAATTAACTAGAGCATTAACTGAAGGAAAAAATTTGAAAGGGAATGTTTGAAAGAGATAAATTTTTATATGCGTGATTTGTTTAAATGTAAGAGAAACTAATTACAGGAATGTTTGTTAGAATTCCATTGCATATTTCTGAGTGATAAAATACCAACATCTGAAAACACTTCCACAACTTTCTTCATTTCAAATCTGTGCTGTCATTAACTTTATAAGTTAATTGCTTTGGCTGGGTTTCAAATACATCTTTACAAAGAAGAATTATGAAAACAACTGCAACATAAAAATTTTTCTAGATTTGCTATAAATACCTACAAAAATTTGTTCTAGAAAACATAAATCAGTGATTAGAAGAAAGCTTGAGTTTTTATTTTAAGAGTTAAAGTGCCTAGCTGCCTGTGTCTTTGCAATGTGGAACAAATATGATATGAATGTCACAGCCTCAATGCAGATCTTGCACGACTAAGATGCATGACAGCAGGACTACATGCTAAAAAAGTACAAGATCAAACACAGATCATGTTTCTGCAAAAACTAGCCCAAAAGAGGGCAGGCCATGGGGCTTACAGGGCCAAGCGATGAGAGGAGATAGAGCACTCACTTATGCCCGGGTCGAACAAACAACAACTGATACTTTCCTACCACTGTTAACCTTTGAAACTATCTTAAAGATGGCAGTGACCTAATCCAGCAATTTCTAACTGTAAGGATAAACTATTTTGTAATGGTTTTCATCACCTTACATTGAAAAAATAATCATCGCGTTCAACTCTGATTCTAAAAGGACTCTGTCATTCTGATGCAGAGATCTAAATGTAAAAGTTTTTATAGGCTTTTATACAAATTCTCTCCCTAAACTCCATTTTCTACACAAAACTATTGTAAGTAGAAAGAGCAACTTCTTTGTAACAAAGAAAGACAGGCTTAAAATATTCGGTCATCATTTGCTGAATTTATTTTAGAAAGTCATGTGTAGCACAAAATAAAAAGGAAACTGCTTGGAATAGTTAAGAGAACAACCCTTCCTAGTTTATTTCCAGTCAGTACCTTGATTGATAGATGACTTGGGTTTCTGAGCCTCTCTTTTTAATAAACATTTTTAAATGTTTATTTTATGTCCCAGGGTAAAAATATTTTGAACTGGAGATTTCCATTTCCCTTTGCTGTGCCTTGGCAAGCTGTATTTTATTTCTACATTAATAGTATTCAACTCTTTCTTGTAGCTTTTAAATTGCTGTTATACAAGTACTGAAGAAAGTATTTATGTTATGGAACTAACAGATATCTACAGCTAAACACACAGTTCTGGAGAAGTCAGAGGAAAATTCACACATAACTGAAGAAATATTCAGAAAGATTTCTTTAGGGGTCTTTCAATTGTAAAAAAGAAAATTACTTCTCAGGATCTCTACTTTCAATTTTATTAAGTCACGAGTTTAATTTTTTTTCTTTCTAATTTATGTGAGTAATTTGTGCCACAGTGTAAAAACTCTAAATGAATCAACACTATAAATCTAATTAGCAATAAGAAAACCTCATAAAGATCACATTTTAAATGGCACTTTGTTGTTAGCAGAACAAATGTGAAAGTTCCCAGCTACCTTCTAGATCTCTCTTCAGTTTCCTTAAGTCTTTTATTAGGTCTTCAAATTTAACTTGGGAGGCCTGGAAAAAATCTTGTGGTTCTGGTAAAGGAAAAATGCTCTTGTCTGTTCCTGCTTCCTAAACAAACAAACAAACAAACAAATAGGCCACTATGAAAATTGAAAGCATTTGCAGTGAAATAAATTACTTTTTTTTTTAAATTCTCATCTATGAAACTGTATTATAAAACTATAGAAATAGTATATTTTAAATCATTCTTGCTAAAACAACATATATCTCATTCAAGATTAAATACCGACCATTCTGAGTATTGAAACTTCCTTTTAGATGTTGTAAAGCAAACTGTGCTCAATTTAAACTTTGAAACGAAACTCAACTGACAACATTTCAGTTCATTTTATGTCAATAAAGGTTTAGGTAAGGAATTAGAAGTTTCTTAAAAACAGATAACAGGAATGCCTATTTTAAGGCAAGAAGTCTTATGCCAAAAGTTTGTGGTTTTACTCTCTCAATTCATTAAATATACAAATGCTTTACAAGCATAAATTGAAAACCATATTTATATATTGCCTGAAGTACTATCCACAGATAAAAATATACAGTTGAAGATTTATGTGGCTAAATAAACCACATGCGTTAATGTCTGTATGGAACTGCTAAGTATATACCTTATTTTTAGTGAAGTAATAAAAAAATTTGGAAGTAAAACAAAAAAACAAATACAAAAAAGAAACAAATAAAAACCCAAAACCAAACAAAAAACCCCAACCAAATAAAAAAACCCACGAACCTCTGAAAAGGTTCAAAGCAGTATCTCCAGTGGAAGTTTAACAAGTAAAATATGTATAAATGGTATTAATATGATATTGCTGTGTATAAGCATATACTAGTGAGTTTAAAACATGCATATACCTGTGCATAGATTTCAAGTCTGTAATAAAAGAAAACTCCCAGGTTAGAGAACTAATTGTTTTTTGAACAGGGAAAAAAATAATTTTATTATTATAAATGAGCATTTTTGGGGGGAGAAGTGCAATGGATGACAATTACACTGTGTTAATTTTCTCCCAAGGACGATAAACTGTTTTGTTTTACAGAATTCCTTGAAGTAAAATTACAATATAGTAGAAAATCTGCAGAAATATTAAATATCATATATTTAAGTAAACTGATTAGAAAGCAAAAAAACCCCAAACCAACCCCCAAAAACTCCCAAACACCAAACCCAAAACAACAAAATCAAAATCAAAAGACAACAAAAAAGAAAGAAACCCAAACAAACAAAGAACACTAGTACAGAGCTACATATCTCATGATTACTAACTCATCAATCCAACCACCTTATGTAAGAATTAAAAAAAAAAAAAGGAAGAAAAAATAAACCATCACATACTTAAAATCAATTATTAGTGACATTTTTATTTAAAATACAATAGTTCAAATTTTCCACTCCATAAGTTTGGCCACTGTTAATATCAAAAATTTCATAAATGTAACTCACTCAAAAGCAGCAGCCACCACATCTTCTCCTACATTTCCATCCCTAACTTCATCCCCATGAGCTGACTCATCTATCTTAAAATACCAAGCTGTCCTTGCATTCTGTCGTAAGAGTGAAATCATGCTTCTGTCTTCCAACGTAATGACATCACAGAAAATTTTACAACATTATAGTGACCCGGATGTAATAAGACAGGGCTGGAGTGACCACCTGTCCAATCTGCAACAGTCACAGGCAGTTGCCTGCAGTGTAAAATTTTCCAAAGAAAATTTCACACCTATTGAGGTACACAACTGTTATAAGAAAGCAAAAGAAATGGATTCTGTTTTTCCCTTAGAGGTACTGTGTTCAGATTTAAAAAGCTAATACGATCCCTTTCACAATTTGTTAAAGAAACCTACTTTTGGAGAGGTTGATACAGCAAATGAATCTTTTACCTTATCACAATGGCGTAGGAAATATATGACGACATAATCCACAAGATTAATACCGCTATCCTAGGAAAAAATAAAAAAAATATTAAAAATGTGTGATTTACACTGATTCAAGTGAGCAAAAATGTACTCTATTTCAAAATAAATGTAGTATTATTTATATTGCTATAAGACATAAGACTCCCAGTATTTTCAGCCTTACCATTACTGACCAAAAAAAATCGATCTTTTACAATATTGGCTTGATCACACCACCACTGGATCTAGAGTTTCTTTTGGTTCTAGATACCAGGTAAAAATACATGCACTGGGAGAAACTGTCCCCATATTTTATTTAATAATACAAGGCATTAGTGAATAATAATATTAACCTGAATAATAATATCAAATAATAATATTATTGAATAATATTACTCTTGAACTTAATATCAACTAAATATTAAAGTCATCTCAGATATATTAAGGTGAACTGAATTTCTTGCTCTCTCTACTCTCAATCATCTATAATGTAGATCTGAAAGAGGCATAGATACTTTTCATATTTTATTCCAGATACGAAATATACTAAGAAGTATATTTCATGCCCTGTTACCATACGAATTTTAATTCTCACTTTATGGAATCACCATTTCCGTGTTCCTCCACACAACAGTACACAATATTTTATTTTGTTATGTGTCATTGGGTCAGCATGGGCCAGATGAACAAAGGACAAGTTATACGTTACAGAGTACCATTCAGCAACATAAAAGAATCATCATATATGGAATTATATCTGAAATGTCTTTGAAATTTTTTGGATGTGTTTTCACATTCTACATTGACAGCTATCAGGACAAACACTTCTATATGAACAATGTCTGGCTTCCTGTATAGGGCTGTCTCGTTTATATTAGAGCCTGCAGCACATTATATTTTATTAATATCATACACCAGCAAAATTCTTTTAACTAAGTCACTGCTGTCATGCAGACAGAGCCACTCTGCATGTATAATGGTTTTAGAAGACACTGCTGGTAGGTAAAAAAATCTCTATAAAAAGTAACTTTCTAAGATCATGTGACAACAAATGACTTTTATGTAAAATAAGAGATATTTAAAATTGAGTCTTTACCTTAGCTCATGGAATTCAGCTTACTTAGACATAATATTGTTTGCTGGCATTTCACAAGAAGGGAGTAATGGGACACAGGAAGAATATCTTAATGTTCAAATACGCATTCTTTCTCCTTGCAAATATGGTCTACCAATTATCTCTGAGGTTTCATGTCTGCCCGTAGCAGGCGGACCCTTTGAGGTTTTTTGCATTTTGGAGACTAATCTAAACTAATAATATATTTATTTTTGCTATCAGGAAACTGTAAATACTATATCTTTTTTTTTTTTTTTTAGCTTTTTTTGCCAAGGAACAAGTTTTATTCAATTACACTGTATATCAGTGACTACTTTTCATAATGCACAGTTTTGGAACAAGCTGGCTAAATTCAGCCACAAAAGTTCTAAGAGGTTTACGGGTAGACGGAAGAGTTAGACTAAAACCATTACTTGTACTGAGAAAAGTCAGGCAAAGCCCCGTTGTTTTACTTTCTCCTTCAAGCCAGCTAGCCAAACAACAAACACCTGAGTAATGGGAAACCGGTTCTAGTTTAGCTGCAGCTTGTACTGTGTCTTGTCCATAGAGCAAGACTGGAATGAAAGTGGTCATATGGAACAGCTGAACCACCACAATGAAGAGGAAAGTAAGAATTAGAAACAGAGTCATTTGGGTGGGAAAGCACCTCTACGATTGTTGAGTCCAACCATAAACTCAGCACTGCCAAGTCCACCACTAGACCATGTTCCTAAGTGCCACATTTACACATCTTTTAAATTCCTCCAGGGATGATCATTCCACCACTTCCCTGGGAAGCCTGTTCCAATGCCTGATAACCCTTTTGGTAAAGAACTTTTTCCTAATATCCAACGTAAATCTTCTCTGACTCAATTTGAGACTGTTTCCTCTCATTCTATCACTTGTTACTTGAGAGAAGAGACCAACCTCCCCCCAGCTACAACCTCCTTTCAGTTAATTGTAGAGAGCAATAAGGTCTCCCCTGAGCCTTTCCTCCAGGATAAACAACCCCAGCTCCCTCAGCTGCTCTTTATTACATAAGACTTGTGCTCCAGAACTGACACCAGCTTCATTGCTCTTTGGGCATGCTCCACCACCTCAATGTTTTTAGAAGACGTAGGACTCAAATGCATTGGAAAAGCTTTCATTAATACAGTTGCTCACTGAACAATTCATTAAATATGTTTTTACACTTCATTAATGATGATATTCACAAGTAAAACAAAAAGATCCCTAGATATACCACTTTCCTGACATTGCTTGTCTCACAAATGCATTCTTCTGTACATGAAGCATAACTAGGAACAAACGCTTAAAATCTATCTTTCTCATAGTAAAGAAAGCACTTCATGTAAGAAAGGAGGAAGAACATGAAAGAAGAGGTTTTTTTCTCATCCTACAAATATGTACCAACAACAGCAGAAAATATCTCCTATTCTTTGCTGCTTTCTATATCCATGTGGGGTCTAAGAATGTTTTGGTAAAAGAACAACTTTGACCAGTGTTTCCATTGCCTACATTATCTAACACCTCCTCCTCAGTGTTACTGAACTAGTAAGAAATGAAGTAACCTCATCTCAAAAGGTGTCTAGAGTTTGATCCTGACTTTGATTCTAGCATGACTAATCAAAAACCAGCTAGTGGTTCTCAATTTTTGACAAAATAATTTACTGCCATTTATAAGCATTTTCTCATGCATGCCATTCAAAATTTGTGTCCTACATCCATTTAACGCACAATTAAAAAAAAAGACTGAAAATATCTTGCTGGGTCTGACACTTTTTTGAAGAAGAATAAAATCCTGTATGTTTTGAATTTATATCCCTTATATACAATTTGTTAGTGTATATGCTACACTGAACCTTTACTGATATTTTGGTTTTGAACATGATTTTTTAAACATTTTTACTCACCCTAAATTAAGAGCACAAAAAGACAATGGGGACATTTACTGCAGAAGATTTCAGCAGTTTATGCTCTCTGATTTCTCCCTGCTCTACTGTAATTAAGTCCTTGCTAGTAAAAGAGACACACAGAAGTTCTTTCTCACATAAGATAATTATCCTAGTATTACTGAATAGGAGAAATTAAGAGATTGTGGAAACATGTACATGTGCAGACGGAGGTGAAAAGCTGGGAGAAAAAACCACGAAAATTGTACAAAGTGCCTTGCTTTTTCCAACAAGAATGATAAGAAATAAAAGATTAACTTTTGAACAGATGATGAAATGAAAAAAGATCACTTGAGAAAAATTATCTTTAATTAAAAATTACTACTTACTCTGCTTTTGACGTCCTTTAGTTTGGGGAGTATTTCCAAACCGAACCCATCAGCTTGACCTCGAGTCCTATTCCCGCCATTCATATAATTTCCAAAAGCCAGAATCAACCCCAAAATTTCCTTTACACTTGTCATGTTCAGCAAAGCCTGGAAAATGGACACTGGTCTGTAACTTCCACTGGTAAAAAAATTCTAATTATTAATATAAGATAGCCTTTTTAAAAATTTTATTTTTGCTAAAGGTTTTGTTTCTTATCTGCTTTTACCTTGGTAGGTAAGGGAAGTTGAAACTAGTGCAATAATCAAGGCTGAGAGAAACATTTATTACACTGTATCCCCCTAAGATACTATGTTAATTAATCTATATGAAACAAATTATATGGCATCGTATACTATGTTGATGACAAAAAGATTAATGGAAGAAGATTATTGAACACCCTTAGTAGCCTTTAAAAATCTTACAGATGAGGTAGTTTATCATCTGTTTGCATAAGGCACAGTCTAATGTACTATTTTTGCTGTCACTAGGTTAGATTCAGACTGTCATTCAGTCTGCTTCTCACAGGTTGTGGTACTCTAAAATTCAGGCTCCTGGATCCATACTTAATGCAGATATAACAGGGCTAACTAATTGCTATGTCTCAAAACAGAAAACAATTCTAGCAACACAGTGCAGAACTAGTAAATTATTTACAGTTACATATAAGGACACCTGTATTGCCAATTGAGAATCTAAGGTCATAGGACTAATCTTTAATTATGTAGCCTTATACACTGGATAAATCAGTTGCAGTGTAAACTCCCGAGAAGTAAACTGAGGGCAATACATCTTTCCCTATCTCAAACAACACTGATTCCTTTTTTATGTCTCCTTTGGAAAGGAAACATCAAGTAACTATTTTTATTGACAGCAAATCCAAAGGGGTAGAGCATGTGTACTTCGTGGAAGCAAAGCTAATCAAAAGCTAATCTTCAAATTGGAAAAAAATAAAATTAACCGTTCTGCCTAAGATGTTAGACCTTTAGGTCACTTTCAGTTTCTCTCAATTCTCATTCTATTTCTCATATTTGGTTATAATTTGACAATCTTGTCTTTAGTCTTTCATAGCATAAAAATATTTGGCAGAGCTTTGTCAGACACTTAAAAAAATCTGCTGTACCAGGGTTAACAGAAATTAATAGATGACAAGCATCTATTGGTATCAACAGTGGTATGCAAAAAAAAGAAACTTTGCAAGGCCCTGTATTAAGCTTGTCTGATATTTAATTTCTTGTTTATGGAGATTATCTATTACATACTTAATATGGAAAGTAATAAAAATCTACCATTCAAATAAAAATAAATTTCTATGTATTGCACAGGGCATCACATGCAATTCCCTTCCCTTTTCCCTCTTCCTTTTGTTTTTATAAGCAGTTATACATTTAATATATTTTTATTTTCCTGAAAAGGCAATAAGGTTCATCTCTTACGGTAAAAAAGAGGCATAAATACTCTAATATATATTTAAGTTTTAATTTAGCTTTCATTAGGACTCACCTTGGAAGCACGAGTTATGATATCTACTTTCCGGTGCACTGATGTTATTCCTTCAGAGAAAACTGACTGAAAGATAATACACTGAGCTCGTTCTGCAAAGTTGGGGATCTGAGATAACTCGTATAAAAATCTGTGGGGAAGAAAGGACTATTCATGAATCTTTATAATTCTTATCTCTGGGGTACATAATGAATGAAAGCTGCAGTATCATGAAATATATATGCAATCTTTCCTACTTCGAATCAAGTCTGACAGAATTTATAATTGTTATATTATTTCTATTAAGAACGTGCTAAAAATCCTATTAATATCACTAAAAACGCACAACATTAATCATTATCACATCAATCCATTAACTATCATAGCTGCATAGTAATAAATAGAAGAATGTCAAACCTAAATCATCGGTTAAAAAAAAAGGGAAAAGCTAGACAAACACTGTGTGTGTACTCTTTCAACTTACATGATTTTGCTTCCCTTAAAAATACGTCCAGAAATACAGAAGTCAATATATTCCTACAAGTTTATTTCTACAACGTCTGCCAAAAAATTTATTCTGATTCTCAGCATCAATTCTGTTTTACTAATTTCCACCACATTTTCAATCATAGAGCAGTATGTTTTATGGGAAATGTACCTAGCTGTGTATTTAGCTGTAAGAGCATCAGTCTTCGCTCACTGTTCAGCAAAGTTACTAAGCCTTTACCTTCTCTATACCTGTCCTCATATAAACATTTTTCTCATGAGTCTATTCTAGCTTTTCTTCTTTTAACTCTTTGGTAAATATTCAACAACTCTAATTTGGATCTCACAAAATGAAAGCATCCCAAAAGCATGAGTAATTCCTCCCTTTCCTCTTCATCAATTTAAAATGTAAGAGTTTGGCTAAATAACACAAGAAGCTTTAGCATTTCTTATAATAACAATGATTTGCTTTTGGGTTTTCAGTTGAGGATTTCAGTGACACATATGCTTTCTTAAAATCCAAAAACAAGCTGTCTTTTGCTCCAATATCACTTTAGAAATATTTTTCTAGTCTCCTGTCAACAGATATCCTTAGATCCCCTTAATGGAGTGCCATAAAGGTTTTTACTATCTCACCAAATTAGGGGAAATTCAGTATTCAATTTATTAGCTTGAATTCTCTTTAAATTTATTTTAATTATTTAAGCCAATACATCTGATTTCTCCAAATTATTTCTTTTCTATAATAAATAATATCAGTGTATTTAAATCTGCTTTACAGATTTCTCGTGTATGCAAGGCTTTGCTGAATACATAGTGACTGTCTAAAAAAATCAGCACAATCCACCTGTGGTTGGTGTGAACTAATACGTTTTAATTGGAATAACATTTTTTTCCTTCTTTTTTCTTTCTTGCCTGATGAAAAAAATCTATTGTGAGAGAAGATCAGGGAGGCCTGGCTTGACTCTTATACTTAAGCAGTGGGAAAAAAGAAATGTCAAGCTGGTATTAATAAAAATGCTTCCTATTGGGGATGAACGGTATTGCCAGGAAAAAAAAAGAGGGTATTTTGCACTTTGTGTGAGAGAAACAAAAGAAAGAAAAACCAAACTGCTCCATTAAAGTTCTAATATACACACAATTAAAAAACTTAAATTTAAAAAGCCAAATGACACATATTCTTGCCTTCCCTTGAAAAGAGAACTATCTCCCACATGACTGCCCATCAGAATACAGAGTAATTGTGCTGAGAGTTAAAAGAACATCAGCGTAAAAAGAAGATATCTCCAGATTTTGGAATTCAAAGCATTCAAAGTTAAATCCAGACAGAACACTCATAACTGAAATCCATCACAAAAAGGAATCTTAGTGACTACAAATGTACTTACTAAACAAAAAGTCATAACCTGAATCTAGGGTTATCACAGATAAACCACCAATTCAGGTGGATAAAACTTTAGGAGAGAAAAGAATATTCTTAGTTCAGGCATTTTTGCATTAGTCTGAGGAAAGTATGATTAAGACTTAAAGTAATGCTGATGTGAGTGTGACATAGCTTTTGGATGGGTTTCTCATTACCACACTTCTTATGGCCTAAAACAAACACAGAGAATATGTTGTTCATGTCTGTGAGGTCCATTGTACTCCTCTCTTTCAGAAACAGTAAATAAAAAATGCATTCACTTGAGAACTCTTATCCTACCATAATTTTGTAGTAAAGGCCTTGAGAGAGAACTTTCAAGGCAGGCATACTGCTATGTTGTTAGTGTAAGAGAACATTCTTGCAAATATAGACAAAGTAACCCGGTTCTACAGAGGTAAACTAATTTTCAGATCACATTTATCCACATTTGAAGAATATAAAATTTAGAAACAAATTTTTGAGAAAAACGTGCTTCTAAGTAAGCCAGAAGGATTTAAACTGAAGTCCAAGGAAAGCTGTCTTCAAAGAGAAGCAAAGGGCATTACTTGGACAGCAATTATAAATTGCTCTCTACTTCCTGAATCAAACTACATACAAATATGGTACTGAGGAAAGCTCAGTACCATATTTGGCTACTACTTCCTTTATTGCTACTTATTTCACAGCAGAAAGGACTTTACAGAGAATATTCTACAACTAAAAAGGGTCTTGGAAACTAGCTAAAGCATCTGTATCCTGTTAGTAAAGCTCCAAATTGTGGCCAATTTTGCATATAAATCTTTATTATGGTAATGAATATTAGCATTTAACAACTATTATCACGAAGCATAATTTAGGAGGGTATTGTTATGTTGCTGTCATACTTACAGTTTGTGCCAAATTTAACATGACAGCAAGATAAATCAAAATCACACGTGCAGGAGAACATCAATGATACCATTAAAGCTTTTTATTTGTCTGGTAGTCCAAGCATGTAATGGTTTCCTTTAGACTTCAGTGAATTCACATCAATGGTTTCATTATATGAATGCCTACTGTTAGTATTTGCAACCATTTGATAAATGGTTTAGTTTACACTTTTGTTCTGATCCTCATAAAGAAAATACATGAGGCTTATGCCCTGTAGCATATATTTTTAATCACACATGCAAATTTAACATTCTTCTGTCTTTAACCTTTTATGGAACTAAAATGCATAGTGGAGTTCCAAAAAATCTCCAGTTCTGCATTTAGGTTGACTCAGAGGTTGACTTAGACAACAAAACCAGTGGCATCTGATCTACTGAGTTTTCAGAAAAGACATTATTTTGAAGGTCCAACAAAATTTACATAAGTGCATAAAGCAAACTGTTTCCTCCTTAAGCTACACCTAAAAAGGCTAATTTTCTTAACCTATGTTGTTTAATAATAGGGTAAAAATGGGATAATTACACTTTCAGAGAGAACACAGAGAGTAATAATTGATAAAAAATAGCATTTTTCTTTGACACTACTATTTCACTCTGAACCACCAGGCGTAACTGCTTTATTTACAGTTTATTTTTACTTATGGAACACTGATAGCATAAATTAAACTTTGTATTTAATGAAGATTAACCTCTCTCCACTATAAATTACAAAAAAAGACAACCTCTGATAGCTCTAGAGGTCTACAAGATTCATATTCTTCAGAAGACAAAATGTATTCATATTTATTTAACTCAGATATACAGCAAACAGACTGCCAAAGTTTCAAGCTCTGGAAAACATCGGCTAGTCACACAATGTATTCTTATGCCCCAAGCCAATCCAATGAAAGCCATGGAAATGGGATGCAAAAACAAGTCAGTATATAAACTTTACAAATATTTGTTCTATTAAGTCTTACTAAAGAACAATAGTTACTCTTACTCAAGTAAGATAATAGCCTTATCTCCCAACACTAGCCTATTCCCTAGTGGGCAGTCACAAATTGAGTACTTAACTGCTTATGGTAGGAGAAATAGAAAAAATTATCTGTTCTTCAGCACTAATATTTTAATGGGAAAAAGGTATGAAAATGTAATACTTCTGACATCAAACAATCATATACTATCTCTGCTATTTCAGTTATTCCCCCCCACCCTTTCTTACATCAAAGACTGCAGAAAAGGTAAAACAAGATGGAAAAGGAAAAAAGATGACAAAGGCCTCAGTGCAGGAAGATCAGAAGAGAGTAAGAGTACAAAAGGGAAAAGTAGTGAAGTAGCAGAAGGCAAATACTACTGGTAGGCCAAAATCTAAAATCAAATGTATACTCTAAAATAAAATTCAGGATTATATGATGAATATAATAGTCCGTGGAATCTTGAGGATTCTTTCTAAGGTGTATTACAATAGAAGGAGCAACACTTATGAAGTTTTTCATCCCAACAGTTGTCACTGGCCACAACGGTCCCAGCAGAGGAATGGTGGAACTAGTAAGCATACACTGTGTCTTTGTCACAAGACTCACCAAAACCCTCTGTTCATGCAGCTCTTTCAAATAATTAACAACAAAAATCAGTCCGGCCTCTAAATGCTCTAATGGAACGATAAGCCTTTTACAAACTTGAGAGTGGGAACAGAAATTCTTACTGATTCAAGGCTACATATTTTATCAGTTCTGGTGGTCCAAGTTCATGTAGTAAAATACATCATTTCTGAAAAAAGTTACATGATAAGTTTACCTCATGCCTTAAAATACACAAAAAAATTTATAATTACTTACCAAAAATTATGTATCAAAATGGCTTTCAATATATCATTGAAGGACTGTATTATATAATGATAAAATATTATGAAACAAATCTTACTGCTCTGGTTTATCCAGAAGCTTCAGTTCCTCCTCTTTTGAAGTCTGATAATATTGCTTGATTTTCTCCAGTTCATCCTTTTGTGCTCTCTGAGTGAATTAATACAAAGCAATTAGTTACTAATTAATAAGAAATTAATAAATTACTACTTTACCTGTTTGTTTGCAAGCAACAACTGTATTTTTTTATTAGGAAACATTTAGTCTGTGCAAAAGAGTGAAGCACAAAGATCCATGACAAATTCCTTCAGTGCCCTGCATGCCATTTACTACCAATGGTCATGGAGCACAGCATCCTTGTGGAACACAACTGCAAATATTGCTACAGGACACCTCACAAAGTTTAGGTCAGGAAAGTATCTGTGACATCTCCACAATCCAGTGTAAATGTGGAGATTTCAAGTTTGCTTTCAAGCAACTTCAGAGTCACACAGTTCATGAATGCTATATCCTTAATCTATACAGCAACCCAGGGTAACTACAACAATCCAGGAGCCTGATGAGAAAAATTCAGCATGATAGCACAAAACAGGCCTTAAGCGAGGACAGTATTTTTCAGGCAGCTCAGGAGAGAACACTGTTACATCTTTTTTTACATTTTAATCTGATTCCAAAGGCACTCCACTGTTTAAAATTTCTGACATTTAAAAACTAAGTTAGCGAGAGAAATAAACATCTCAATGTGCCTTTTTTTATGTTCATACAATATCCTGACTTGGAAGGGACCTACAAGGATTGTTGAAATCCAACTCCTGGCCCTGCACAGTACAGCCTCAAGAATCACACCATGTGCCTGAGAGCACATGCCAAACTCTTCTGGAACTCTGGCAGGCTTGGTGCTGTGAGCACCTCCATAAAGAGCCTGTTCCAGTGCTACCCTGTGGGTGAAAAACCTTTTCCTTTATCTCTAATCTAAACATCCCCTGACTCAGCTGTAGTTGGTCAACCAGGTGGGTTCCCTTGTCATAAAAGAAAATTATGTTTGACAAGCAGGACTGTCCTCTCCTGAAGCCATGCTGGCCATGACCGATAACTGCACTATCCTTCAGGTGTTTTCCAGTACCTCCCATGATAGTCTTCTCCATAATTTTACCATGCACTGAAGTGGGACTGACAGGCATGTAGTTTCCAGGGTCATGCTTCTTGCTCTTCTTGAAAACTGGGAGAGCGTTAGCCAGCTTCCAGTCAACTGGGACATCTCCAGATTCCCAAGACTATTAAAAAATCATCAAGAGAGGCCTCGTGATGATATCAGCCAGCTCTTTTGACGATTCTGGGATGAATCCTATCAGGCCCCAGATTTGTAGGGATCCAGCTGCAGAAGCAGATCCCACACAATTTCAGGGTCAACTGGGAGTTGATCATTCTCACAGTCATGGTCCTCCAGCTCAGGGCACAGGAACCCCCTTGGCCCGTCATCAGTGTCGAAAACAGAGGCAAAGAAAATGTCAAACACCTCTGCCTTGTCTCTGTCCCTGTTTGTGAGGTGACCATCCTCATCCTGACGTTATTTATGCACTGCCTTTTGCTTTTAACATATCCTAAAAAACTCTTTTTTATTGTCCCCCACATTTCTGGCCAGCTTCAACTCCAGCTGAGTTTTGGCTGCATGAATTTTCTCCCTACAACAGTGAGTAGCATCTCTATATTCCTCCCACATGAGTTTGCCTCTACCAGGCATACACCTTCTTTTTTTTTTGACTTAGCTCCAAAAGAAGATCCCTGTTCAGCCAAGCCAGTCTTCTGCCTGGTCTGCTTGGTATCTGACATTTTGGAAACTGCCTGCTCTGTGCCCTTAAAGAGGTGATATTTAAAAAGTGATGAGCACTGATGGAACCAGAGCACCTTCAAAAGCGTTTTCCCAGTCAACTTATTCACTACTTCCCTGAGCACCCTGAAGTCCACTCTCATTGTCCAGGGCTGAGGCTTTGTTGGCACTTATCCTTCTGTCAACAGAGATTTTAAATTCATTCACTCGATTAACCTAAATTCACTCAATTGCTTTGTAGCCACTGTAGCCATGCCATGGTCAAGACCAATCACCACTTCACTCACAAAACCCTCTCTGTTAACAAGAAACAAATCAAGAAGGGCATCTTTCCTGGTCAGCTCCCTTACTACGTGTACCATGAGGTTATTATACAGGTGTTTCAGCAATCTTCTGGACCTGTTTGTCCCAGCTGTGTGATGCTCTCAGTTAACATCTGGCAAGTTGAAGTCTCCCACAAGAACAAGGACAGTTGGTTTGGAGATGTCACTAAGTTCCTCACAGAATAATTCATCACCATCATTGTCCTGGACAAGAGGTCCTTAGTAGACTCCCACAATGACATCTGCTTAATTTGTCCCTTAATTCTTACCCAGAGGTTCTCATTTGTGCTACTGCCAATTGTAAGCTCCATATATTCCAGTCCCTTCATTCCATATGTCACCCTATGTTACCTATTTTATTAGTGGTAAATTCCCTAAAGAATTTTTCTACATAAGGTCTGTAGTCTAAAATTACAACATAAAATAGAACTTTATTTATTCTGTGTCTGAAATGCTATGGTGATTAACCACATCGCTGCCCCGTCTTTACTTACATTTTCATATAGTGCTTCCAGTGTTTCTAGATCTACTACAGAGTCATCAACGCACAGTATAGCTGTATAGAACACAAACACAAATTAGATGCTAGAAAACATACTTAAGAGTTCAATTCTTTTTCCTGAGAAATGTACTAAAGGGTTCTAACCTAGCTAAAGGATATATCCAGTTTGTATTTTAATATTTTCAGTGTTTTATTTTTGTTCTAACTTCAAATCACAGCACTCATGGAAGAATATTCTATGAAGTCTGTCTTAGGAGAATAGAGTTCTACTGTCCCCCTCTAATACACTCAGCAGTCAAAGATATGACCAGTCAAGTACTCAGTTGATTGTGTACAATGACAATGAACAGTACAGATTTCCTGTTAGCTTAGAAGGCTGGATAGGAAGGAATTGAGAGTTAGGGTATTTAGGTCTCCCTAGGTGTACAGGAAATCAGGGAGATATGCTTGTCTTGGAGTTAGCCATCTTGAGAAGTAGACAAGTCAACAAACTTGCAAAATTTGCAACTTGCAAAATAATTGATGATTAATTATGCCTCATTACCAAAAATGAGAAGTCTCAAAATCTCTCCTGTCTTAGTTTCAGATTTTACTAAGTTTGGAATATGACACTAGGTGCTTCCAGCATTTGAAAATCCCATTACTTAGGCAAGTATTGGTACTCTTCTGAAAACTAAATGGGATTATTTCATTGTGCTTTCTAATGCACTCTGATGTTAAATTCTAGGAAGCTAAGAGATGCACAATGGAATGGAAATAACTGTGGATGCTTAAATTTTTTTCAAATCAGCTTTTCCTTGAGATCCATAATGGGACTGGGTACAATTTTTGAACTCATGACTTACGTTAAAATATTACTGAGAACATTAATCCCCAAAAAATCAAGCTTAAGGCCTCTACCAAGTTTCCATGTAACCACTGACTCATCATTAGCTACTACCTGATAACTTTGGATTTTAATTTTATTATATTTCTTCAAAGGAAATTTGACTGCTTCTGAATTTAGAAGATTTTAAAAGCTCTTGCTGCATTTGCAATCCATGTTTGAAAGGGGCAAGGCACACATCTTTAAATAATTATTTAAAAGTAATAAGCTTTCGCCTGCTCTACCACCTACCCCATGATTTCACATTGTGAAATTTACCAGCAGGCTAGTAAATTTTCCCTGTGGCAGGCTAATTAATTTTATTAAAAGGTCCAGTGACATTTAGAATGCTTTAAAATTCTGCTTGTCAATTATGATTCTGTCTGTTGACATTACACCTTGGTTAGAAGTAAAGAATTATAGAGAAAACAGTATCAGTGAAAAAAAGCAGTATCTCCAACTATTTTTGTCCTACTGCAAAGATTCAAAAAAAGCTCAAGCGTGTAACCAAATCTAAAGCCTGAACAACTGAGACTGACAAAAATCTTTGTTTAAAGAAAAGTCATTAGGGATTGAATTTAAGAGATGTCTCCTATAAGACAGCTTCAAGAGTTGCACTATCTTCTGTATTATCCAATGTAACTTCAAAAGAACCTGAGAGATTGGAAAATCTCTTGGAAAATTGTTTTCACGGTTCAATATATTTAATTGTGAAGATTTCGAAATATTTAACTGAGTTCAGAAGCTTCCCTTATGGTTCAACATTCATCCTATTTTAGAATATTCTGAAATCTGCTTACAAGGAGAAATTTATTGTCTAGAGTTATGTAGAAAAGGCAACTTATTGGAGATAAACTGAACCTGTACTAGAAAGGCAAAGCGTGCAACTAATAGTCAATTTTTTAGGTACAAAACTATTATGATGACAGGAAGTAGTTTAATAAAAAGAGCACTTTAATAAGAATATTAAGATTTTTACACCTAACTGAAATTTTTTGCCAGAGATTTATCATCAAAAAGGCCCCAGAATCACAAAGTGGTTTTTAACGCTCTATTATCTTATCCATGTTTCTGTACTCAACATCAGTTCTAACAAATCATCATTTTGAAGTGACATGATAAAACAAAAAGTGTCTGAGATTAAACTAACAAAATAAAACCTCATAAATCACAGAATTGATAATAATCAGTGTTAAGAAACATATATTAATATGAGTTATTTTCTCTCTTTGAACAAGTATGTGATTGTATAAAAGTTCCAGGAAAATATTTTCTGATTTACAACTTGCACTGCTAAAATTGGCAATGTCCATGCAGACAACCTGCAGTTAAAAATCTGGCCATATAACTCAATTTAATGATAGTTGGACATCTTAGGATGCCAATGCATGTAAAGACACCTTCCCAAGAAGTCAGAAGTACTGCCAAAATCTACACAGCCTCCTTTATTTCATCTTTATGTATTTTAATATCTTCATCCTTCTCTGTTTTTTTCACACGAACTGATTGAACTTTATGCCATGCACATTTGGAGCAGAAGACAAAAACATGTAAATTTTATGAAGACTGGCCCATTTTTTTGAAAAGAAGCACTGATTTTGAAAAGCTGGAAGAAATCCCCAAATTCACAGGTGTCTTGGTACTCTAACTCTAAAAATATGGCATGAACAATACATTCAAGGTATGTTGAATAAATTAACTTGAATTTGAACAGCTGAATAAAACCCCATTACACTAGATCAAAGAAAGTAATTATTTTGATTTCTACTTAAAGGAACAAAAGTTTTTTAATTTTTCTGTGAAAAACAAAACCCACTTTTAATCATATGTATATTAACATTATCAAAATTAATATGAACATTGGAAAGTTTTTCAAAATGCTCTTCCTGATACAGTGAACTTAACCATAATACTTTACTGCATTAAATCTCATTATATCGAGACTTACGTAAGTGTAAGTAATATAGGTGAAGTATCATAAATCTACAAAAGAGGCTCCAAAACAATTAATAGCTATTACAATATCAATCATCATTGGTGATTTTTACTTTCATCTTGCTTTCTAGTTAGCTGTCTTCCTTACACTGTCAGTTTAGTTAGAATATTTCACCTACACCTCACAATATGTCAAAAGGAAGTAGACTCATGCTGTGAAAAGCTGGTAATTTTATTGGGTTCCTCTACCTTTAAAAAATCTGTTACTTGGCCAAGTCTGGTTTCTGAGATCCTTTTTTGCAGGGAAATTGAGGCAAACATTTTTATGTGGCCTATGGTGTCTGCTCACAAGAAGAAGAATTTATATACACAAGGATCATTAGTGCAGGGTTGCACCCATTAGGCTATAATAACCGTCAGCTAGGACAAAAAACAGATCAGCATCATGCATTCAAACTAACAGGCACACATAAAAATACTTGCCAACTACATTTCCCATACAAAGCATTGCTTTGAATATAAACTTATACCAAAGGTATTTAACATAATTCACTTTTAAAAAATGAATCTAACAGATTCCCTGCTGCACAGATTTCTCATACTCTGATTACTTCAAAAATGTAAACCAAAGAAAAGCTGAGAATTTAAAGCATACTGTGTGCAGTCGACAGACAACTTTAGAACTTAAAGGTTAAAATGAAAAATATACTTATCTCCTCTTAACAAGCTTAAATACCAACAGTCTTAAGTCTGACTTTGATATACAGCCTCACTCCTACTAAACACATTTTGGTTGAATCAGGATTTAAGTCCTGCTGACAGAGCTTACATATACTCAGCAATATCAAACCACTTAATATGGTAATTAGACTGTGAAATATGAAGAAATCATCTTAACTGCTCTCTAATGATAAAACAAAAATACATTATTTAAATAAAAAGAGCTTGCCAAAGGTACATGTATTTGACCTGGAAGTATTTAATTGTTTTATATTCTACATTCTGTTGAGTAAGGTTTGATTTCATGGGAATATGCAGCCCATCACTGGGAAACTGAAATTAAATTGTGACCGATCTGGTCAATTAGACAATGACAACAACTGTTAAATACAAATCCCTACATGGCAAAACTGCCTAAAATATCCAAATCACTCTTGTTTACTTCTGACAAATTGATATGTGATAAACTTATTTAAAGGTTTTCTCCACTATTTAACTGTCATGCAACACACAAAAATACACATAACAAAGAAGCACCATGGGCACAGTGTAGGTTTAGAAAACTAAGAAAGCTCAACTCCTGAAAGAAGTCATGAGCAAAAGATTCTGGCACTAATGTTAACCTACTCACATCATGCTGGATGCCCAAGGGAGATTCATAAAAATGTATGTTGTGAATTTTCCCGAAAAAGAGAATTTAATTTTAAAGAAAATTTAATTTTAAAGAAAACCGTTTCCCAATTTCTGAGGTGGGTATGCAGCTATCTCTATACTTCATGCATAGCATACAGTATACGTAGAATGCATACATGTAATGTTCTGTGTAGGTGGGAAAGTCACACAACTTTGGAACAACAGTTTTTAAACCCTTAAAATCCATACTTCCACTTTCACTTTCAGCTGAAACCCCATAAAACTCTTTACACATAGTGCAAGTAAGAAATATTCCAAAGTCATTCTCTTTAACCAGAAGTATTTCCAAAATATAACAGAGAAACTACTTGTGCTGCATGGTATGGTTAATACACAAATTGGAGCTGCCTTGGAATAGTTTGGCTTTAGGATATAACACATAGTCTTTAAGATGCTAAGAAAGTGCCTGGTTAACAATGATACTGGTCTCTAAAGTTCAGATGTGCTGTAAACTATAAACTGCACTAAGAAAATGCAACCTATTTATATAACTGCTATGATCTCTCATCAGAGGAAGACCACGCAGCAATCATAGGATGATTAGAAATATAATACTGAATTAAAATGATTATTAGACTTATCATCAGTCTGGCTGAGTTCACATTCCTCCAATTACTTCAGTATGTTGACAATGGAAGGTAAATCATTAAGTTGAAGAAACCAGTCAGACAGTTTTCAATTGGTTGACATTGTACAATACTATCATAACTATGTTTTTTCTAGAAAGTTTGTCCCCTTCTGTGGCATGATAGTTCTTTGCATTGCTCACCATCAGAATATCATTACTGTGACACTGTAATAAAAATATATTCTGCTATTGGGGAGAGACAAAAATACCACAAAAAACAATGAAGGTGAATCTACAAAAGCAGATGGCATGATCAAGGCTTTTTAACAAATTCCACTCTAATCCATCCCATCTAAGTGCGATCAAATACATTTCTCTAACATTTTCAAATCTTAATGTGCTTCTGCATAGATAATTTACAGAGCTGGTGAACACAGGAATGTTCCAAATGTCCAATAAACATACCAGGCCCCCATACGTGCTACTACAGTTTGGCCAGTGCTACTCTGATGTAATAAATGGAGTCTTGGCCAATATATTTAACTGCTTAAAATCTAGGAAAAAAAAATACTAAATTAGCATTAGTCTCAATGTTATAGTCTCAATGCTAAGGATCAATGTTAGTTTTCCTCTTTGTTATACAGACTACGTTCTGTCTATTGTAGTGCTACAGCACAGCTACTCTTGCTTTGGCAAATGTACCAGCAAAGCCTGTAGTTGTTCTGTGGGGAGTAATATGGCACTTTACTACCACAAAGAGTACAATAAGCTATAAGGTGTGCAGCTGGTGTGATCTACCGCATCTTACAGATTAATCCCATGGAAAATACACCACCATGTATACCAGCAGACCACCTAGTTAATGTGTCCTGATGGAAATCACGAGTATTACTGAAACATTTCCAGCAATACAGAGAAGCGGAACTTCTGATGCCCTACAATTTTAGTGGCAAAATGCAGGTGCTGTGGAGGTAGGGAGGATTTGGGGGAATTACTCCTTTGAACATAGGCATCTACATTTTATTAAAATCCCATATTCTGAAACTAAAAGTTTTCTCATCTGGGCCTCCCCACAATTTTGCCAGTTAGGTCTTGAACAAAGATCTCAGCAGCTCATGGAAAGCCAGCACAGATGACATACACTGCAGAAAAGAGCATTATTATCCTTTTCCAGTGCACTACTATTGCTAGCTACTATATTGGAACTGTCTCAGCAAGTGGAACATTGCCTTGTAAAAAGCTGGACCAAGGGCCCACAGAGGGTTTTCATACACAGTTATAATCAGCATTTCCCATTACAAACAGAACTGAATCACCTCACTGTGGAGTGAGTTGTAATATTTCAACAGCAAAGCCACACAAATAGTCCTGAGCCACAAGTTTGTCTCTCAAGCTGTAAGATTTCAGCTGAACAATGACAGGAAAAGATACAAGTGGATTAATACAAAATGGAGATTACTTCTCTAAGTGTGTACTGTTAAAGCATGTCCCTTACCTAACAACTGATCTCCACTATTCCTCACCTCTTCTTTTTAAAGGTTTTAAAAAAATATGGAGAAGGAGCCTTAAAAATAATCTCAAACCTATGAACAATTTGATTATTGCTATTTGTCTTTTCAATATAAAGATCCAATATAGCATACTGAGTCAGACAGATTTTCTGCCTGCTTCTTCTGCTCAGGAAATTAATAGTATTAATAGTGGTCTAACTAAAAACGATACTATTCTCACAAGTACCAGATTCACCAGTGTTCTCAGAACATTGTAGGACCTAGGATTTGTTCTCCTCTCCCACCTATCTAAAAGATATTAGGACAGGTGCAGCATGACAATGTCAACTTTTCCTCTGCATCATATAATACCAACACTACTCAAAATAATTATTCAGTTTTACATTGTCTTCTCCCTAGACTGTACTCAGACACAGAATGAATGTAAACTTATCTGCAAAGGATGCATTTCACTCTCTCAAACCAACACATGTGGAAGATTCCCTTCCTGAAGTGTGGCAGCTGGCTCATCGTCAGATGCAAACTGAAGCATCTGAGTGCCAGACATGGTCACTTGCTTGTTTTGCGCTGCCAAGTCATCTACAGAATATGCTGTGAAGTTATGTACTTTAATACGAGAGCATAATCCTATAGATGCAGAAATCTCACACTCTTTTAAAGGACAGTGTAATTTTTCTCATGATTTCTTGTTTTGTCTTCTCTAAAACTTTGCATGCATCTGTATGCACAGGGCAGTTTATTTGAGTTTTTCTCTTTATTTCTGTAACTGCTACATACAGTAGAGCAAACGGTATACTATACACAGACAGTAAATTCACTTGTACATAACTTTTCAACAAACACTGTCAGAAAAACTTGAAATAAAATATTTTCTTTTAATTTTTGACTTTCTTTTGCCTCAAGTTTCTCTATTCTCCATTGCAAGTGGTCAAAGACCATTAACTTTTCCCTGTTTTTCATGTACTGAATTAGGCCATGAAAATTGGCTTGAAAAAAGAGATGAGTGCTTAATTTGCATGTTTCTTAGAGGTAGCTCTTAGTAACTTCACTTTGTAATGAAAAAAACCACAATCTTTGACAGTCATGACCCTATGATCACATGCTTTTTTGGTTAGGTGTTATCATGAGTCATTTAGCCTATTACGAATTTTTTTCATCCAGTGCATTGACTACAGTAGGTTTCAAATAATTTTTCTGCTGACAGGCAGGACTGCACACAGATTTAAACTACATAAAATGCTATGGGACAAACACACACTAAAAGAGAAACAAGATAATTCCACTTTTGTCTTCATATTTGTATGCATTTCTAAAGGTCCCCTCTATATAACAATGTTCTCCCTTAGTCTTGTGAACTGGGGTTTTTTCCCTAGGTAGTCACTGAACACAGATTTTTATTAGAATCACTCATCCTGCTTTGTAATTTTTTTTTAAAGTTCCACTAACAGTATTCCCAAATTCTGTTTGTAACTCCCAGTTCTTTCCATAAGCAAGAGACAGCATATCGTATTGCCTCCTTGAGCAACATATGTGGTGACAGGCCAGTCATTTGCTACCTCAGACTAGAGAGGGTGATGAGTGACAGCACTTGTTTTGCTGCCTTTCTTGTCCCAACACCCTAATTTTCATTAAACTTGTAGGACTACATTAGCTATGTCTACACCTGCAAGTAGTGTAGTTTTTAGATTTGTAGACAGTAACAGCTGATGCTGAGGATTCAGTGTTCACACTATACACATTTCAGGCAGTTTTAACTACTTCTGATTTGGTCCTGGGGTATTTAGAGCCCGCTATAGGTGGACACTACTGGCACTCTCGTAAAGCAAATCTCAAGTCTGAAGGATGTTTGTGCACTCTGAAACTGCTCTGCATTGCTTTGCAATGCAAATACAGCAAAGGGGACAACTGGTAAATATGATTCAAAAGTGCACAGCTGATTCAAGCTAAAAATGCTAATGTATACATACCCAAATATTTGAGTCATTATGTTCTCTTAAATTTGGCATAAATTGGCCAGAAGATTTCAAAAGCTATAGGAGTATAGCAAATAACTAAGAGAAAGATAGAGATGTTCTATTTTAGTAGAATATTATGGCATGGAAAATAAAAAGTAATAAAAAACATCTCTGAAGATACTTCAGAATACTACCCGGTTTTTATAATGCAGCTTCTATCGTATCCCTATGCTGCTGTAACTTCTGCCAGCAAATTATTCAGACCTTTAGTAACAGCAGTTTTTTTCCATCTCATTCTGATACCTTTCACACAATACTGGCAGGCATAAAGTTATTCCTTCTTTTCCTTATTCCCTTGCATCCCAAGAGACATCTGTAAGCCCTTTTGCTTTTAAAGTGCTAGATGCTCAAAGGCTCTTTTGAAATTAATAATAATCAATGCCAGCAGCATCTCAACACCCTACCCAGTATTTGCATGTGATGGAGGGAAAACAATAGCAAAAAAGGAGACATCAACTTGAGTTCTTCCAGCAGTTGTTTTAAATGGTGAATATTTTCCTTTTCTTAATGTGAAAAAGAAATAAACAATATCCTTAAACAATATCTTTTTAAATCCAGAACATAAGCAGACTCTCAACTACCCCAGTGTTCTGAAAAATCTGTATTTCTCTACAGTTGTACTAGCAAACTCAAATAATGTCTACCAGTAATGGAATTTACACACTGAGTAGCTTTACTCTTTGAAAAATGCCATCCAGTAATTTTCTTTCTGATTGTTATGTGGTAACATAATTTTGGGATGTACTTTACACTGCTAATGAAGCAAAATTTAAACATTAAACAAATAATGACTGCATGTTTGAAGACCTAAAGATTTATTTATAAGCCATCCATTTAATTTTTTTGGTGGAGGATTTGCTTTAGAAAAAGCAGGGAACTGCAGGGGAGAAATATGAAAATACTGAACTGAAAATGATATTCTAACTGGAATGCTACAGAAGGAGTTGTGCCTAAATTCAATTCTGATTATTAGGTGGAACTTTTACATATAGTGGAATATACTGGAAAAATTAGCTTAGAGGACTATATTCAAAGCACAATCTGTAATGTAAGACATTCTCTGAGGGCTATGACAAAATATCCAAGGAAATACAATATACTAAGTGTAAGAAACACTTACCTTGTTGAATATCCTTCATCTCCAGATGCAAACTCGATATTAAAATTCCTACGGTTTGAGACCGTTTTCCATCCAACAGTTTGGTAATCTAGAAAGATGAAGTAAAATGATCTTAGATCAAATGAACACTCTACAAAGGATTCATTCACTTTAACAACAGAAGCTAATTCGTGAATTGAATTCAATGTTTCTCCGAACATCAAACCATTTTATTAACTAAATGTGGTAGTAAGACCTTCATCTTATCTTTATGCTCTGCACCTTAACAAACAGCTTATAAACATAAGACTGAATTATCACCAGGTGTAGTAAAGAACATCACTTCTTACTTGTAGGATGCTGTTAAACAGGTGAAAAAAAAAGGCACATTGGATATTTATTCTGGCATATAGTTTTTCCCCCTTCTTCTTAAGGTGAAATTTAAGAATTATTTAAGACACTCTACATCCCAAGTTACCACCTAAGGAGTCTTTCATACCACCTAAGGGGTCTTTCTGCTGTGCCTTTTGCAATCAGATGTGTCCATCTTGTATTTGCCTCATAAGCCACCAGCGTGCTTGTAACAAATATGGATAGGAGCCTTCCTAAATCTTCGTTCGCAAAGCCTAGTCATGATGACATCCCAAGTTCCTTAGCTTGTCTGCTAGTTTACATTTCAATGCGAACACATTTATGTCTACTTTTTTAACAAAGGATCAACTCCTGACCAAGAGGAATTGAAGAACTGTCTTTTTGTGCCCTCTCAACACTATTTCTGGAACACCAGGCACTACTGAAAGTATTTCTTTCACTCTTGTCTGAATGTGCTTATCCCACATTGTTGACACTTCACAGGGATTTGAGGATTTTGTTCACATTTTGGGTAACCGACACTTGATAGTATAATATACTGACATTCAGATTGTAATATTTTCAGATGTCAGTTGGGGGAGAAGAAATAAAAGGAGAAAGGAAACCTTAAGGAAGTTATTTTGGCTGGTTGAAATTAGTGACAATGATGTGGATCACTCCATAAAGTAAAGTAAACCATCAGACTTTTGGAAGTGTAGTTCCAATATTAGAAATGTCAAAACCAAATTTCCCACAATGTTTGGACTGTTGTTATTTGTGATTCTGATTTATATCATAAGGAAGATATGACAGCAGCACATCACAAAATGCAATACAGACACAAGTTCTTAGAAGTGTTCAGATCCAAGCAGTTGTCTTACTTCCTAGTGCTGACGAACAAGAACTATTAAAAATACTAACTCATATGAAGGATTAAAACTAATAGCTATGTTTTCCAAAAATTCAGATTCTTAGTATCTGAACAATATTTAATCTATTTCCAAATTTAATTTTAATTTTTGTGTGACACTAACATTTTGATATTTAATAATGTTAAAAACTTTAAGTAATTGTTATCTCTTATTCCTGTAATATTTTTATTGATGTTCACATTAGAGACAGTTAATTCAAAAAATTTATACTAACTCATACAAACATTTCCCATGTTTTATGTGATTTAGGAATATTTAATTGTGCAACTATTTAGTCATTCACCTATACAAAAGTAGATTTGTTGACAAATACAGGAAAAAGAGAAACGATAGTTAGTTCTTATTTATGACAAGTTGGAACACATGCTGTCTTCAGCAAAGATTTGACTGATATTTTATGTCCCTCTTCTAGGGAATCAAAATTTAATAAACTTATGTCAACCTAGATATTGTATATTTTCTGGCAAAATTTGAAGCAAAATCTATCCTGAGAGATTTCTCTGCCTATATGTATGGTACGTAAGATGGATATTAAGAAAGTAATATTATTAAAATTGTTTTCTTCAAATGATAAAGAATTCAGGTTCTTTATCTCCTGAGTACACAAGTACACAAGACGATTTGGCTACAAGTTACCTTAAATGAACACTGTGGAAGCATCACATCCTGTTAACTGAGCAAATGTAACTAACTGCATGGTTTATCATGGTCATTTCTGGAGCTTACATGAATTTGCTGAACTCTGAAGCACATTAACTTCTTACAGGGATAATTACAGGGTTGTGTAGTATGCAATTTGTATAGCATTCACTGACCTCCAAGTTGACCTTGTTCAGGGCAAATTCATAGGTTGTCATAAACCCCATTAGACATGCCTAGTTTGAGGCAAAACCTTTCCAGACTATAGCTGTTGCAGATAATATGACATTTGAAATCATTCTATTGAAGTATTTTTTTAGTGTTAATATATTCTCCCAATACGATCAAACTAGCTCACATTGCTAAGCAAGACTTCCTCCTTAAAAGAAAAAAAAGGAAAGAAAAAGTGAAAAAAGAAATGAAAGAAGATCCTATGTATGTTTTAAAGCTAAACCGGAGATTCATGTTTTAAAATGGCAACTGACTGTATGTTCACATGCATTTTAGACAAATGTACACATGGTCACAATTACCAGGCATCAAACTAGACACAGACTACCTAAAACAACTTCAACCAAGTAACTGAAGGCTAATACTTTATTCATTAGGGAGCAAAAGTGGAGGAGAAAGACAACAGAATAGTTTAAACTGGGCATAAAACTATTCCAAACCGATAGTTATAACGTTAAGTATTATATAGGACTTCTATCATAGATTTTTAGAAACAATGTGTACCTTGTAAGATATTGCATCTAAAGATATAAGCAGTAGTAAAACAGAGAACAAATTTTCAGAGATACTAATTTTGTCCCAAATTACAGTTATTCTGGGAAAGTCACTGAGAGGGAATTAAATATGTGCGTGAATTCCAAATAGAAAGGAGACACAAAAAAATCAGTACTTTTTTAGTCCAATAAAAACATAAGGTAATCAAAAGGAAAGTTTGTAAAGACTGCACTGAACTATTTAGTCTATGCTTTTAAAAGACAAATCACTGATCACTTCTCAGCATATTGGGACTTGTTTGTAGCTGGCAGTGACAGGTAAGCAGCTAAAATCCAGTTGATGCCAGCTGATGCTGCTATGCCAGCAGGTGGGGTTTGCCAACTGCCTGCTGCTTCTCCAGACTATGAATGTATCATTCTGGCTTAGTGACAAAATTGTGACTGCTGGTGATAATTCATTTACGTCAGTGATCCATAACATTATTTGCTCTGTGTGGTTTTTCCCTATTTTTTATTAAGTTAGTTGATTTGCTGTACACAAGCAAATATAAATATTTCAAATATTTATCATCTAATTTAAAAGTGAAGATATACTGAAGCTTGAATACATTTGTAAATTATTCTGTCATTTCCATTAAAAGGTGTTTCTCTAACATAGGCAGAAATGTATTTCATTGAATACTATAAACCAGACTTCACTGTTTTGTCTAACTGCAATGTCTACATTCTGTCCAGGACACTTACTGGTGCTGAAATCTGAAGAGACTCAGTTTACTTTAGTGATTAAAAGCTAAATCCTTCCTCCTGGTGGTGCACGGATTCTTTCCACAATATTTAAATTTACTGAGAGAAGCCATAAGCTAAAGAGTTGTCCTGCATATCACAGTGCTTCCCTCTATTCCCACTCATTAACTTTTACAGTGAGTCAACCGCCTGGGCCGATAAGTAGACTGCTGAAACCCTGTTCAAACAGAAGATCACGCACAAGAAGCCAAAGATCATGCCCCTCAATCCATTCTACATAAATACTCAAAGAGTTACCAATGAAATTTCAGAAGTTTAAGACCAGACATCTTTCTATTCCTACTCAGAGGAGTGCCAAGTTTAACTACTTCTTATTTCACATGGATGAATCATTTTTAAAATATTTTAGGAGACAGAATTCTATTTACAATTTTATTAGCTTAAAAAAAACCCACTATCTTTAGCCTTTTGCTAAAGGACACACAAATGGCAATTCCTCAGGCTACAACAGGAGGTACGAAATAAGCTAGTAAGAAACTAATTTCAGTATCTTTACTCCTATCAAAACTGTGAAAATTAGACAAAGCCACAAAATAGATATTTACTCCTTATGGATACTTTCTATATTCTACCTGACTGCAGAGCTTTGTGATAAACAAGGAAATGTCAGTGATTTTTCTCAGCACACCACAAAATATAAAAAGAAAGTGAGAGTGCATCGGAAAAGCATGCACTAGCATTTTACTAGTTCTGCTTTAGTTCGAACACTGTTTATTATCCTATGCAGACAGCTGAAGACGGTCATTGTGTTTCAACGCTGCAAAGCTTCCAACATTTTCTGCAATATCTGCCCTTCTTGCGGAAACACAAAATTCATTAATTGTAATTCCTCATTTAGTTAGATGGACAAAAAACTTGCTGACAGACATATCCCTTTCAGTTAAAAAAATGCAATTCACTCAAAATATTGACACTCTTCTTAAATGAGAACACATGTTAATAATTATGTGAAGTCTGTTAGAGATAATAGACAACAGAAAAGCCATTATCTTTAATGTCCTCCTGCGTCTTTGAAATGATAATCGTTGCACCAAAGGGCCAAAAATGATTGATGGACTTTCATTTGGAGTATACACCTGACACAAATTACTTGACATTTACTCTTTGTTTTGTAAGATGAAGACAGAGTGGCATCACAAACATCCAACTATCCTGTTTCTTGAAAAGATGTAGAAAATAACTTGAGTTTTTGAGGATAAATTACTAACAAGTGCTCAAATATATTGGAAAAACTAACCCAACTTCAAAATATGTGTTAAGTTTAGCAATGGAGCTACAGAATGCATATGGAATAAATCGCAGCAAAGGAATGTTCTTTTCTAAATAATCCCTTTTTCAGAATTAGAGAGAATTAATACATAATGAATCGCATCTTTTATTTCATCCCAAAATATATGTCCTAATTCTGCCTTTCTTCTCTTTGGTAATGTAAGAATTCTGGTTCTGCAAATTTAACAGGAAAGGGAGAAACTATGGCTTGAAAACAATAACATGTGCCTATCAGCTTAAAAATTTGCATGGATATGTACAGACAAGATAAATTAACATGGAATGAGTGAAAGTAAAATTGTCTGCATATAATACTTCAGTCCTTCATCTGACATGAAAATATCTATAGAAGACTTTCAGAGTCTGAGAAAGAGGTTAGATCACTCAGATTATATTCAAACCTATAAAAGCAGAGTCCTTCCAGAAACAATGATGGGGTTTGGCTTTTGATTGGTTTTATCTTCCAGAAAAATAGGTTACAGTTTAATGCTAATTGTTTTTTGTTTCCATTGTTTTCATAAGCAGCTATGGACCTTAATGGTACTGTACTGAATCTACTTACAGTTGAACATTTTTGGTACATAAAACTTCATAGTTTAAGTCCATTTATATTTTAGTAAATATAACTTAAAATTTGCTTTTCTAAAGAGATCATACATTCCTAGAAAAATATTTTTAATTGAGTGTCAATGGAAAATAGAATAGATGCAGAAATCATATGTCCAGAATGTTCCATCTGAAATCAAAGCATAAGAAAATAAAGAAATTATGATGAACACAGTCTAGATTAACAGATGCACTTTCACAAGTCACATGTCAGCGATGCTTTAAAAAAAGTTCAAAATATGAGTCATATTCAAAAGACAATTAAAGTCTAAATGTCCAACAGAATCAACACCTAAACTGAAGTTATGAACTAAAATAAACTGGTGGATCTAGCCCTTCTTTTTCTTGATTTCCAAGAAGCTGTAACTTCTTAGTAATATTAAAAATGGGACCACCTACAAGCATTTGAAAAAGGTTAACTACAGACCCCAACACTTTACATGGCATAAACAGTTTTAAATCCAATGGATATTATCAAGATGCACCATACCAGTAACTTACACATTTATATTAAGCTTACTGAATTAGCCAAAATCAGAAAGAAATTTATTTGATTCATATTTAGGTGACTAGCACATGGTACTGAGTGCCATGTCCAGTCTTCTCTTAAACACCTCCAGGGACTGTGACTCCACCACCTCCCTGGGCAGTCCATTCCAATGTCTAATCACCCCTTCTGCACAGAAATTCCTCCTAATGTCCACACTAAGCCTCCTCTGCTGCGGCTTATATAGGACAACATTTAGATATTTCTGGATGAAAATGGTGGATGTCTATCAGCTGTAAGCAAAAAAAGCACAGCTTACTGTGAATTTTTTAATCTGTTTCGCCATAAGGTGCCTACAAATGTCGACAAATGGGTAAGAATGGAACAAAGTGAAATTTCTATATGTTTTTCACAGAAGCATTCATTTCATGGCCTAAGCATGATCATTCCAAGTAGTTTCACAAAACTAATGATTCTGAGAATAAATTGAATAATATTGTTTTATGTCGAACTGCAAGAGAAATGTAAATAAATGGTAAAGATGTAATAATTCAACAGGCTACTGTTAGTCTTCTTAATTTTATAAAGCCTAGTTAAATGAGAAATTTAACTTCTCCTCTAATTCAAAAGATAAAATCTTACTTCCAGTTACATAAGGAACTTGATTGTGAGGCACTGATGTAATTCTCATTCAAGGAGAAAAGTATTAGATAGTCATGTTTTAATAAGCAGTCCTGCACCACCTATTGGTCTGTAATTTTGCTAAATATGAAGGATGCTGAACTTAATTTGCATAAGATGGTATGAAATAGGGCAGAGTTTGTGCAGAGAAGTGATTTAAGCAGTGAATGGGTCAACCCTAACACGTATCATTAAATAAAACAGCTTAAGTATTCCAAACACAAACTACAACTCCAGATTTTATTGCTGTTCCCCAATCTTGCTCTGGAAGGCTCTTTTATAAAACATGAAAAAGAAATTTACAAATAAATACAAAATGACACAGCATCAGCCAAAAATTGTAATATATGATGAACCTCATAAGATTCATAACTGTTTCACAATGTCTGTAGAAATCATCTTTAACCTATAAGACCTTAACTTTTAAGACTATACAATCCCATATACTGTACCATTTTTAGGACCAGACAAGCACAAATTTCTGTATTGAAGCAAAGAAAAAGATTGTTGCTAAAACCCTAGTCACTAGATGTAATTGTTAGAAAAAAGGTAAGAAAGGTTGAGAGCCAAGAAAAAAAAAACCAAACCAGAAATAAAGACAGCAGAACAGACAGCTTTATATTGATCTACAGGAGCTCTCTGTTGCTATCTACTAATAAACCTTCCTGTAAGTAAATAAAATGCTTCTCCACTACTATATCGCTTGCAGCCCACCAAGAGTGATCCATTGGAGCCAGCCTGCACACATCTGGGCTTTCAGAGAGACAAAGAAAAACACAGAACCATCTAAGAGGGCCAACTGTCTGTAAAAACATTCAGCCGCTACTGTGACTTGTTTAACAGACAAAGGTAAAAGGACATGATATACAAAAAGAAAATGCTTCTGTACTCAGAAAATTAAAATTTTGTTTCAATTCTAAATTTTAAATTGACCAAATGATGGAAAGTTGAATACTGCTAACCCCAAGTTTTTAAGCTCTCACGGAAAGCCCACAGTTTGTTAACACCATGATCATAATCCCATCAGTTTACCAAACTAAAGACATAGTAATAGATATTATTCTTAATTTATCTCTTACGAAATTTGTTTTTGTATTTTCACACAGTACTTTAAAGGAATCTTTTTCATTTCATTAATTTCAGGAAATATATCCCTTGTCTTAAACCAGTAAGTTTACCTTTAATACAAAAGCAGAATCATTCAAACAGTGACATAAATAATGAAGATATCTTTGCAATACAATACACTGGTTGCTCAAAAAATTGGTATTTATTATTATATAATTATTTTCTGTAACTATTATCCAATTCAATTTTGAATAAAGCTAAGAGAGATCATTAAAAAATCATGCTGCTGTAACAGGTAGGTTGGTTTACAAAGCAGCAAGGAAAAATACAATTTCATCTTTCAGGATACAGGCCTAATCCTGTACCTGCTTTGCTGTCGCCCATCTGCAGAAATGAGTCTGCTTCCTTAACTGCTGAGATTTTAAAATACAAAAGCACTTATCTGTACATATTAATTCTCCATTAAAGTTACATTGGTTACATTCTTCACAGTGGTTATATTCTTCTAAGTTATTTAGAAATCTGTATTTTCTATTAAATACTTCTTAATAAAATAGGTAAATTTATGAAATAAATGCTAGAAATAGACCATCAGAAATGGGATGGGATGGGAACTAATGGGATTTATGGATATAGCTGCTACTAAAATATCACATACACTTGAAGCGTCTGTCAAGTAAAATATGTTGAAACATTTCTCACAGAGATATTCCTGTCCAACTTCAAGCTAATATTTGAAGGACTGTAGCAATTATTTCTTTGGGCTGTATTTACAAATGCCAGCATGGTCCCATTTTTCATTTTTTACTTCTTGTATCGCATGAGTTTGAATTTTATAAGTTCTATAGCCTTACTTACACTTCTCATTAGCTATTGTGTTAAGACGCAATACAGGAAGTTTATGATCAAGATGTCTTGACAGATCTGATTGCACCAACCTGTATATATATATATATGTGTGTGTGTGTGTGTGTGTGTGTGTGTGTGTGTTTCACATTCTCTATATTATAAAATCGAAGGTAGCTAGCACAGCTTACATGCAAAGTGCCCTCTTGTGGTTCCAAGCAGATAAACTCAGAGATTTATGATACACGATATGTTTAAATAGTTTCTGACATGTAATCATGCTGTTTCAGGAAAACAGTATTGATTATTATTCACCCTAGAATTTTTCTGGAAGCAAATACTACTAATGCCATTTCTTTTTCCTATCGGCACATTCTCTCTGTAGTGGATCACGTCTGAGGCAGACAATATCTGCCCTACAGCAATGACATACCTCCTGCATGTAGCTTTGGCCATTAAAGACATGATTGTCCTGTCCCTTCCTGACACAACTCTTCAGCTATACCAGAAAAAAAATATTTGGCATTCCTTACTCAAAATGTCTCTTTATACTTTATTTTTCCAATAACATTAATCTCTGTGAAAGAGAGGTTTGCTAGAGTAACTTAATGACAGGTGTTAATTATAAATCAGTTCAAGGGCAGACTAATGGCCTGAAATATTAGAACTTTCCAATATGAACTGGAACTTCCATTCAGTTCTCCTACACAATACTTTTTCTACCTCACTGGAATACAAAACTTTCATTATCAAAGGCAAGAAACCTTCCAAAGTAAAGAATAACCTCACATTCTCAAGGAAGAGTTGAATCAGCAATCCGCCCATTTTGCTTGTCTGTTCATCCTCCAAAAGACCCCAAAGAATTAAAAGGTAGTTTTCTCAAAATGAAAAACTAAACAATAACACACACAAAAACCCCCCAACAAACAACTCCCCCCCAACAAACAACTCCCCCCCAATAAATACCTTTTTGGCCTTAGTTTTTTTTTCGTAAGTCTCTGATAATGGTTTTCTTTTTTCCTGAGTGGTGTCTTTGGAGAATAAATATTCAAACTCAGTAGTATCAAGTATATCAGGTTCTTCTAGTGATTCCCATAAAGTTGGCACAGCAGTTTTCCTGTAAAGTGAAAAGTAATAATAAAATTTCCAAACATTTATGATAATAGATATAACTATAATAGATGAAAATCCATGATAGATTTAAAATCAAAGGAACACAAAGGGCATTCCTCCCCTACAACTTCCTCTTCTAAGGAGTCAAAATATTTTGCTATTTGTTTTAGCTATTAGTTTTAGCTATTTAGTCCATGCCTGCTAGACTATCGAAATGCATTATTTGAATTGTACAGTTCTTTGTACAACAACTGCAGTTTGTGCAAATACATCACAAGAGATTTCTGCCACTTCAACTAGGATTAGGAGTATTTCAACAGCAGCTTTTTTGAGAAATTCCCAGTAATCTATTTAGACCTACAAAAATAAACAAAATCAACAAATAGTGAACAAACTTTATCCAAGCATATTTTAAGAGCATTTGGACTAATCTGTATAGGACTTGATTTACTTCATGTTAGCTGCAGATGTTGTATGCTCATATTTATCCTTGTTGCAGCTCTGACAAACTCGAATAATTATGTGGCTTATATTTTAGGAGACTAGCCAGTATTCTTCTCCATACAATCAACTGTAAATTTTAAATGTGGATTATCTTTCCTTCTTTTTTTGCCTTCCAAGACTGAAACTTGTTTACACAATCCTCTAGTTTTATCTGGATTTAGGGGTAATACTATGTAGTGCTACAAACATCGCACTTCAATTCTGAAAGGGCTCTGTATCAAAATTTCAATGCTTCAGGAAAATATGTGGAATAAAACTGCTGAGGGCTCTTCCTGCCTGTTTATCAATAGAAGGTGGAACAACTTCTTCCAGCAGATGTCACTAAAAGGCAGTGAAATTATTTGCAATTAAAAAAGGTGATGAAAACCACTATAAAATACAAATGGCTGATGTCACTAAACAGATGTAATATGCAACAAAATGGAATACCTATGAATTCAAAAGGCACGTGGTTTTTTTTTTCAAATTTAGGATTTTTTTAATACTCAACTGTATGTCTACTATTGTGAATTTTAAGGAATGCCTATTTTTTTTCCATTAGCATCCGGTGATGCAGCATATTCTGTGTCACAGAAAACACTTAGAGCTCCATAGCTTCACTCTCCCTGATATTACCCATAGTGTCAGCTATGACACTAGAAGAATGAAGGATTCTTTCTGCAACAAGAAGTCCTGAAGAGCTGCTGATCTGAGCAGCAAACCCTTGAAGAATTTTCCAGTTCTAGTACAGATCATGAAAATGCCGAATCATTACATCTGGTGACCAGTAGTTCATCAGAATGCTTAGACCTTATCTTGCAAAAGCTTGGTGAACTAAAAATATTTCAGAAAAAAACAATTTGATTTCAGTGAATCAACAGAAAGAATTACAGTACGGTTTATTTATGGACCAACTATTTATTCACTGTGAAAATATTATGCACTAGTAATTTTGGGAAAGTAAAACCAAAATGTTCAAGCTTCCTGGTCCAAAGTATTTCAATGTTTTTAATTCTAAAAAACTGAATAAATACGACTAACATTTTATTAATATTTTGTTCCTGTCAACTATTTTATATAAAATATTAACACCTTAAAATGCTTTATTATACTAGAATAATGGTACTTTCTCATCAAAATAAATTCAGAGTTGTAAAGTAAAATAAAACTCATATTTAATTACACTTAACTGCAATTACTTACTTTAACAATGTTTAAATGTAATGGAACAATAAAATAAAATATAATTGATAATAATTTTATTAATTTACATAGAATTGTTACTATGATAAACTATAATGAATAATTTCTAATAATTCATAATACAATATATAATATAGTCACAGTGTATAATACAGTACACAATATACTGTGTGTATATATATATATTACAGCGTATATAATATTGTGACATGTTATGGCTGTAAGTCATATATAACAATATAATTTCATTTATTAGAATGTTTAAATTTAGCATCTTTCAGCTGCAGTTATGTTAAAAATAATTTTGAACACAGATAATTATTTGAACTTAAAGATCCAAATAATCATGTAATTTCATTACTTGCACAATGCAGGACCTGAATCAACGAGCACGTCCTTGTTAAACTAGAAAGAGTAGATGTCACTTAAGCATCCCTCAAAACCACTTTTTGAGCCATCCCTCCTAATGGAGCTCTGTATTACGTTAATAAACACAAGAACCAAAATTAGAATCAGTCAAAATCCAAAAGAGCAGCTGAGCAGCATGTGAAGCCACATACCACTGTGGTGGTATGCAGTAAGGTATGCATGCTGGCCCAGAAAGCGTAAATGGGAGAACTTCTTTTCTCCTGTCAGCTGAATGAATGGGTAGCATAAACAAAAGACTGTGGGATCATTTCAAAAAGCCTGTCCAAAAATTGTTTACTTATGTCTGTTCACCAAATTATCACTTATAAACAAATCAATAAAACAGATGTTTCACAGTAACTTTGGATTTGGTACAACTAACACTATTAGACTATCGTTATAGAATCATAGAATGGCCAGGGTTGAACGGACCTTAAGGATCATCTAGTTCCAATGCCCCCGCCACGGACAGGGATACCTTCCACTAGACCAGGCTACTCAGAGCCCCATCCAACCTGGCCTTGAACACTCCAGGAATGAGACATCAGCAGCTCCTCTGGGCAACCTGTTTCAGTGCCTCACCACCCTCATAGTAAAGAATTTCTTTCTTACATGCCATCTAAATCTACCTCCTCTATCCCCTAGATTCTATTGATATTGGAGGTTGCCCCACCTCAGGTGCAAGACCTTGTACTTGGCCTTGAACTTCCTCAGCTTTACACAGTCCCACTACTCAAGCCTGTGAGGGCCATTCTGGATGGTATCCCCTCCCTCAAGCATATCTAAGATTTTATCCCCGCACTAAATCACAGTAAAATGGGTAATTTTTTTATTTTTTATATCTATTTTTTTTAAAACTACAGTACTGAGATTTGTCCATAAGAGATGCTTCACATTATAGATTCCTGAGCTGCCTATATTTACATATATGCTTTACTCTTCCTGCTCAGATAGAATTATACACAGACGTTAGGTTACAGTTTAACTCTTCCTAGAACTGGAATCGTAGAGGATGACACAACATAGTTCTCTGAAGACAGTATCACATGAAGTGACTGGAAAGCAAAAATGAAACTAAGTTCTTACATGACCAAACTTTAACTTCAGTTCTAATTTTAATTCAGATTTAATTAAAAAAAATTAAAATCTTTCTAATCTCTTGGCAACCATTTTGCTTTTTAGTGCTAAATCTAGGAAGGACCCTGTCACTAATGGTTATCCATAGAGTACTTGGATGACTGGGGGAAAAAAACCACAAAAAAATACGGTTTTGTTATGATGTACAAAATTTCCATTTATAATGCATACAATTTTAATTGAACTATAATATTTTAAAATAACTTCCTATGATCTATTTCTAGACTTCAATTTTTTCTAGATTTTTTTTCTAGATTCAATTTTTTTCTTAAAGCGTATCAATTCCATGCCTCTACACTGATTTTGTTATACATTCCTAGACTGCTAAATTTTGTTATTAGGTCTTAAATAGTATACCTTAAATATCATACCTATCATGACAATTCTAAGTCCAAGTAAATATATTTTACCTGCTATCTTGCAATTGTATCCGTGTCCAGTACAAAGGCTTCATGGGACGGCTAGGTTCAATGGCAGGTTTTCGAGGACCTTGGTTTGAACATAAAGTGCTATTAAAAAAGAACCCAGGCCCAGGAGGTGGAAGAGGTGGAGGTAACCCAGATCCAGGCAGTGGAGGTGGAACAGGAGGTCCCAGCCCTGGAAGTGGTGGTGGTGGCGGTGGTGGCGGTGCTTGTAAATTCCTACAGCCTTCAGAAAGTGGAGGTGACAGTGGTGCACTAGATCCAAACTGAGATGTCAGTGAAGTTGAACCCATTGGCAAAGGTGGTGGTGGAGGAACTAAACCCGACAGTGAAGATTCAGGAAGGGGTGGTGGAGGAGGAGGAGGTGGTGGTGGTGGAGGAGGCAGCATTTGTTTTGGTTGACAAGATAAGACACTTTCTGAAGACTGTACATTGTAATTGTCCTTATTTTCACTTTGGGTAGAAATACTATGTGACAAAGAAGAAATATTAAGCTTTTTGGGTACTATTTGGTTATTTTTCACAGCTCTGTTATCTTCTTCACTAGGCTTTATGAAAGTTTCTCTGTCAGTCTGTATACATACATTTCGGTATGCCTTTGGTGGTTTATCATCTTCAGTAGAAACACCAATATCCTTTGTTTTTTCATTTCTTCTGTTTAATTTATTATCAAGTTCATTTTTCAGATGTGCAATGGTTTCCTCAAGCTGAGCAGTTGATACAGCATGTTCTCCACGAATATGGAATACCCTGAGTTCAAACTGAGACTGCAGAGCAACAAGAAAAAAAATCCCTTAGTGCAAATATTCTTCTGAAGTGCTAATTTGGTAGCAATTAAAAATCTTCAAATTTAGACTATGTTCTTACATTAAGCAAAGAGAGAAATACTTCATTTTCCTAGTTCTAAATGCCTTTATTGCAAGCTACTACATAATTTGAGAATTACTACTCGTTAAAGAAATGTAAGCAGGGTATGTTTCAAAAACCCCATATTTTATAAGTAAATATCCAGAACATCAATTTGGGTAAATTCTAAGTTGTACACTGTCTTTAAGCAGACTTATTGTTTTTTAATTGAATGCAACAATTAATGGTATATTATGGAAAAAGGTATCTTTTTCAAATGTTATCATATTTAATGACATGATTTTATTGACTATTTCGTTTCATAAATAGGCCATATATATATGTAGAGTTAACATGTTGGGAAGTAAAAAGTAGATTAAAACCAACAGAAGTCAAAATTCATCCAGAATACAATAAATAACAAATTAAAATAATTTCTTAATCAATTAAATTCACAGGGATATACATAAATTCTTCAAGTTTATCTTTACTATTAGATTAAAACTTCATTTCTACCAGATATACTTTAATCTACAATTCAAAAAAATAAATCTTAGAACTAAGAGGATCAAGACAATTTCACTGAATAATTAAGGAAGCAAAAAACACCCATTTATGTTACCACGTATAAGAAAAATATAAAACATTTGGTATAGAAAGATCTCCTTTAAATAATCCAACCCAATCCAATCCTGCTATTCCAGATGATTAAATCTCTACAAGCTATTTTCTGTTATGCCATGATACTATCAGGCAGCTGGCTGATGCTATCTTGTTTCTTTGCATGGTTCTTTCAGGATCCCTCTACCAAGGGAAGCCAACATTTCAACAGAAGCCATAATGAGCTTTGATTTTCCCAAATTCCTGCAGGCACAACAATTTACACTTACGAAATTCCTACACAGTGCTTGTCAGAAGTGGCAACACAGCACTTCCTAGTTACCATTCCAACTTGAGTATTAGGTCGGAGTTCATAGTTTACGGCATTAATTAATATACATTCAATTAATACATGTATAAAGTAAAATATTGGGACTTTATATTGTACAACAATGCTTGATTAGATATGCCAACAATATACATTATTTCTTAGAGCAGTATGATCAGCTTGTACTCTAATCAATTTCTTAAGATAAAATCCAAGGTAAACACTCTGAAAATACTGGGTACAAAATGCTCCTTTTCTCAACTGGCAAGTGTAAAGGTCAGAAATCAAGTTTAAAGTCTTGCAAAGATAAAGAAACAGAGATCTGCATTGGAAACAACCCAATTTCTTTTGGTTTTATAGAAGAATTAGGAAGAATATGGACAACAGAATAGACTTGTTTAGCTTTTTCTTTTCCTGCTGTTACTCTATCAAAGTTTGTTGTCACTCAGCTTTATTACTAGTTCAGTTCAACTATCACAAGATTTTTGGCCATTTGAATTGTTCCGAAGAAATCACCTGTCTCTTTAAACTTGGCATACTGACCCATAAATGAAGTAATAAAGTAAGTTTGCCTTAGGGAATTTAATTGTTTTTTTATCATAGTATTTTGCTCCCATTGGACATCAAAAACTCCCCCATAGAACAATTTACTTTGAACATTAGAGATTTTCCCAGCAGTAAATCTGAGGTCACCTTAAAAACACACTGTAAAACAAGCACAGTATCTAACAAAACTATTTATTACATTTAAATGGGCATGAAAGCAACTGTATTAGTATTATAAGCCTTTTCAAATACAGATCTTCAGTATTTATATTACAATATAAAATTGGTGGTTTAAACTCAAAATTATATTTGAGGTGATTGTTTTATGCTTTTTCTTGCTTTTCATTCTTTCATATTTTCAAAATTATTTTCTGTTAATACAGAAAATTTATATTAACAAGAATTAAAGCTAAAGTTATCAAGCACAAAAAAGAAACGCAAGCTTAGCAAAAATGAAACATTGGAAATGTGTGTTGAACATCTCATCAATGTAAAAGATCAGTCATATCCAACTGAGTGCAATAAATAGAGTAATAAGTAATAAACCAAGTTTTTAATTACTTTTTATGTCAAAATAATTATCTTATTCACCATAAGATTAAGTAATATTGAAACCTTTTCAGCTTGCATATATAATACTTTTGACAAAAAATTCTAGAATATGTACATTAATATGTACTATTTTTATATATACACATAAATAATGCATATGTATTCTTACTAAAGGTCTGCTTCCTGGCAAATATTTCTTAAAATGAGAGGAAATGCTCTAATATCATATAATGAATCAAATGGAGATCAAACATGATTAGAATATAATAGTTTAGTCACAGTTACTTTAAGCAGAATGAAACTAAAAAAAATTTCAGCACGTAACAAGATGTCTGAGGGAGGTAAGGTGTGGGAAGAAGGTTGGAGGGACAGAAGATATGAGAGGGCAGCTGAAAACTAGACCTTATAAAGCCACCCTACGCATGAACGAAAATGATTTATTTCTGAAGAAGAGTAGAGGATTTCGAAACCTATTAGAGTAAAATGCCTGTATAAATTTCTGTGTGAAATGAAGACATTACAAAGAACAATGTGGGAGATGTTCATCAGCATGTTTTAGACATAGAGTATAGCAGTTGTTTTCCTACGAAAGCTGCATTTGCCACTTTGCTGACTTGTACAGATGCCTAGTTGCTTGCTTCTCAGCAACACTCATAAAAAAAAATTGGGACTGTACGGCCAGATTCATCATCAAATAAACTAGTGCAAGGAACACATTTCTACTCCCCTGACCATTTCACTTTCTTGCACCATTAATCTGCTCTTTCAGAGAATGTATCAAATTAAGCCCTCAAGCCTTGGCGTGTTGAGGTTCTCCGGCTTTTCTTTGTATCAATGACTCTTGCCAGTAACATTATGGAGTTTTTTTTAGATATTACTCCCTCTTCTGTACACACACACGCGTGCACACACACACACACACAAGATTGATACAGCCACCTAAATTTCCATGACAGCAGAGATGGAATTTTCTCCAGATTACTTTTACAAATACCGTATTAAAGGTAGGTATGTTTCAATAAAAGCTTATTACTATTTCCATATTGCTAGCTTAAAAGAAAATATAAGCATGTAAAACAACGTACTGTTAAGGTCTTAATGTGCTGGAATAAGTTTTCAATCATATATTTGAAAGTACATTCTGAATATCTTAAGCCTGATTCACGTAGCAGTATACTACTGAAAAAAGTTGCCTTACTTTGGTACAATCTTTCTTGCATTCATTGCCAATATTAAATATGCAAACAATACTATGCTAGGAAGCTGAAGAACACTGTTAAAATTCAGAATTCATAAAAATTTTATCAGACAAGGAAGCAGTCTGAAAATACATGCTACAATTCAAGAAAGAGAACTGCAGCACACATAGGTACTGAAGGGATTGATAAGTTGTATGGCAATCCTAGGGGAAAAGGATCTGCGAAGGACAGCATATCACAGACTGATCGTGAGTCAACAACTCTGTATCAGAATATATTAAAAGAACTGTCATATGCAAAAAAGTAATCTTTGTGCTTTATTTGCTATTCAAGCCTCACCAGTGCAGCTGCACCCAAAAATCAGTTTAACTTCTCAAAGTTTGTCTGGTATCTGAGAATGAAACAGGTATGATCCATTTTCCTTGAGTAAAATCAACTCACGAGAGCAAATGACCCCAGCGGACTTCTCAGATCCCTTAGCACAAACATTTATATATAAGCTTAGAAGGCCTCTATTATCCTTCTCCTAAAAAATAATGAGTAAAAGAAAAGCCACCACTAAACAAAAAGAAAAAACCATACAACAACGAAAACCCCTCCATCAACAACAATATAAAAAGACCCCTCTTCCTAAAGTACATGATATTGCCATGGTACAAAGATGATTATGCAAATATTCAAAAATACTGAAACACTGTAACCCGGAAAACAAGAGGAGCATTTGGAATGGCCTTCCAGTGTCTTCCCATCTTACACCCATTCCTCTGCCATGATTCCAGTGCCTTCCTTTTGGCACCTACTACGTAACTTGACACAATGCAGAGAAAAAAATGCAAGATATATTTTCTGAGACAATGCCAACAGCCCAGCCTTGGTTCTATGAAAGCCAGGAAATTAAGAATTTCTTCAAAGGAAGATAAAGTACAAAATTTGAATCACTGTACCGTTACATATGAAGTGAAAAATCATGTAATTAATTGCAAAAGACTAAATCCTCTCATTCAGAATGTAACCTAGAGGTTGTTTAAATGTCTTTGAAATGATAATGTGGATTGACACAGATAAATCTCAATACAGAGATAAATGTGACAGCTTTTCTCTGTGCTCTGATAGGTGACAGAAAGATTACAGTCTCATTTAATACAGTCAATATAGTCAATTACAGTCAATTAAATGCAATCCACCAAAATATATTTGTTTTGTTACTGATTTATATAATGTGATTTTATGTCGACAAAAACTTTTCAACCATAACACAGAATTGCTCTGATGTGAAAAGCTGTGAAACAGTTTGTATGTATGAAGATGAGGAAAGTATAAATTTCTACAGTAATCTACATTCAAAAATCAGTTGCTGGCTTGTAATTAGTCATGACTTATTTTCACCATAAATGTTAACAAAAATTCTGAGCAGTTTAATAGTAAAACATTAAAAAAAAAAATATCTCTAAAACACTGTCTAAGAGCAAGCAATATGTAGAACTTTGCTTTGAAACTAGCAAGTTAATGCTCCACTGTCAATGCCTAATACTTTTTCACTAGTGTTTACAGTGTAATTCTACTCTGAAAAGTGAGTGTGTAAAAATGACACATATTTAATGAACAAAGCTATTCTAGGTATATCAGAGACAGACCTCTTCTTTAACTGAGAAACATACACTTTTACAGGTTTTTACTCTAATTAGTGTGGAAAAAC